AAAAGATTAAATTATGGCCAGTAAATGTCAGCATTTACCAGTATCCAGTACTCAGTCCAGTGGTGGTATCTGATGCTTCTAAGAGGTAGAGATTTCGGCTTGGTAATTGTAGACTTAAACACCTCCACTTGCTCTTACAAAAGTTACAGGGAGATCACAAGTTCAGATGAGAGTTTGACCAGGAGAACCTAGATCATGAGAACCTGAGCAGAAATTGGATTCAGACTTTCAGGTGAAAATGGGAGATGAAGGGAGAGTCAAAAGATCCCAACACTGAACTAGTAATATTAGAGAGAGCAAGTGGAGGTGTTTAAGTCTACAATTACCAAGCCGAAATCTCTACCTCTTAGAAGCATCAGATACCACCGTTGGACTGAATACTGAATACTGGTAAATGCTGGCATTTACTGGCCATAATTTAATCCCAAGGAAATGTCTTCTCATGGATGCCTGAGCCTTGAGCTTCACTCTTGGGTCTGTCCATGCAGCCATATATGTTCCCTTTACCAGACAAGTTCTCAATCAGTGATCAAAGGGCATTTTGTAGGGTATTTGTAAGTAGTCAAGTCATAGAAACATTGGCTTACTTGACTCCCAGCTTTCTTCTTCTTTATTCCCAGTGGGGAAATGTGTTAACCAGAGCCAACTACCCAGCCTGGCTTGGACCCTTGGGATCTAAAAGATCCTATAGTACCAGGCTTTTGTTGTCATGGACATAGCAGAGTTGAAATGAGTGGCGTTAACTCTCGCTGATATCAGTAATTCATAGTCAGCATTGTTCCGGCAGTGTTTAGTCTCCTGTTTAGTCGCCTTTCTCTTATGAGGTTTTCCAATAATGAGTGTGCAGTACATACTGGGAATAGTTTCACCCCAAAGAGATTGTTTTAAGTTCTTTGCTTAAGATGGCAACCAAAGTATATAAAAAATGTGACCAATGACCAGTGCTTCCACTGTATATCACCTGTAACAGCTTTCTATATTAATATTTATTAATATGTCTGTCTCTCTCTGTTAGTACATTACTCCCCCTGCTGGTAGCCATGGCCTACCTAGAGTCCCCAGAGTTCAGAGGTGAAGATATTTTGAAGACGTATGTATCAGGCTTTGTATTCACACTTAACCTAGTTGACCAGAACAGCTTTGCAGCACTACATAGCCTATCCAGCAGGCCAGAGGTTGCAAAGGGCTTGCTTGTCCTCATGTGTGCTTATATGTAGGGCTTTCCCTTATTACACCCCTGTGACCATAAAACCAACCACATCCAATTATCTATATCTATATGTGTGTGTGTGTATAGTGTGTATATAAATACATAGACACACAGAGAACATAGTGCTTCTTCAGATGCTTAACCATCCCCATTAATACTATCTGGGGAAAAGGGGGTATCACTTACTGGAACAGAATTCTGAGCAGGCTAGTAACACTGCATGTTTGATCCTTGAACTCACCTTGGGTGATATGCCCCTAGGTTACATTAGGGGATGACTTAGATTTATCTTGAGTTCTTCCTTTGGCAGGCTCAGAGTCAGTTCTCATAAGTTTCTTTTTTTTAGGACCAATTATTACCCCCTTTAACTAGCCTCAGACTCTTCCTGATAAGCTGTAAAGTCTTTAGAGGCAGGGATTAAACCCTTTTGTCTTTCCACACCAAGCACAGTGCCTGGATTCTTACCTTGAGTGTTGTAGGAGCTTAACAACTGGCTTATTGGTAAATTAATTAATTATAAATGAGAGTTTGGGATAGCCCGCATCTTATTGAGCTTCTAATTGTTTCTTTGGCAGCATTAACTAGAAGACGCAATTTCCCAAGAGCTATGCTTTACCTTAGTTAATGCTTTGGAGAGGGACTTTGTCACGATGATATAAAGTTTTGATTAAATGGAAACAGAAGTTTATTTCTCTTTTACTAATAGTTCCACATAAAATACCATTTGTTATTAGAGAAACAATTGGAAAGGAAAGATATTCTCAAAGTATTATAACCAAGGCACGGTTAAGATGATTTATACTTCATATGCAGGGCTTGCTCAGTTAATGTATCCACTTATCAGGCATTAGGAAATTTTGAGTGAGGAACAAGGTTATGAAATAGATGTGCAAGAATGGAAGTAGAAAGAGGCTGTATGGTTTGAATAAGTTAATACTGCTCTGCCAAGCCTAATGTTCTCTTTTTTGCCCTTTCTTTAGTAACTAGGCCATTTTCCCCAGTATATTAACTACGGCCTAGGAATGAGTGATAACTTTTGAGCTGCTACATTAAATCATTTCAGGACATTGGGAATAGGAGTCAGCAAATTATCGCTTAACAGAACCAAATAATAAGCTAAAAAGGGTAAATGCAACTTGCTAAAGGGCCCAGTATAAAAATAAATGGTAGCTTATGCACTGGGATATCTCAATGCAGTGTTTGATCCCTGAGTACTCTACTGACTCTTAGATTCTGAGCCTAATTCAAACAGGGCCACTGCTAACACATTTGCCTTTGTGAAAATTAGAAAAATGTGCCCTTCCTCAAGTAAAATTTTTAAGTATGTTATGCACAACTTGAACAATCCTATGTTCAGTTGTGACGAAAGTGGGAATGTGGATGGTACCCTCTCTGGCTTTATCTGGTGATTCTGGACTCCACCCTCCTGTAAGGAAGGAAAGAAGGAGGGAGGGGAATGAGGGGATGGAGTTGGGGAACAGAAGTGTGGGGATTTCATTAGTAACACCATTTTCAGTTCACCCAAATGGTGGTTCCCTAAGTCAAACTTATTTTTAAATAAGTGACCAGAACATCTGTGTTTTATTAAGAATCATAGAGAACTGCTGCTTAAAAGGACATGCCCCTTTTTGGCTCAGCCCAGCTCTGCAGGATTGGGATGTGGGGCTCATAACCTCGGCACGAGAAAGTCTGTGAATATGCCATACACACGCCCCTGATGTTAGGGCTCACATCCCATTGGCAGTGCATACATCCTCCCACCCAACTCCTCCCCATGAGTCTACCCTGTTTGGTACAGAAAATGAGCCGAGGATGGGCACTGGAATGTGGCAGAGTGTGCAAGTGTGTGGATGTTGATGAATGTCAACGTGGAGTTCCGTGACAGAGAACTTTCCGCATGGCTTTCCCCATACCTTTCAACTGGGAGAGCATCTCTTCTCGTGCCATGATATTTTGTTATATAACATCACGCTACTTTGAGAATACTACCGGCCCTCCCCAGCTATGGTGCTATTATACTACCTTGGATTCCATTTATATAGATATATAGCATTATATTAGGTACTCAAAATAATACAGCGTTTCTATATTTAAATGAGCACTTTAATGTTTAAAGTAGAATCAAACATTTTCACTTAGGGTTTCCACATTTTACTTAAATTAATGCTTATATTTTTTATACTTCTGGTTTTTTTTTTAATACAACATAACTGAATCCATTCAAGCCACAGGTTGTGAAATATAAAAGCATGTTTTAGTTATCCACCCTCTAATTGTGTGGTTAGAACTATGCAGCCTCCTGAATTTCTGAACAGAAAACAATGCATGCTCCTTTTAAGGCTCTGAGTCCATGCAGGCCTTGCTGATACGTGGTGGGAGAGAGGGGCTTTCTCATGTCAGCACTGCCCTGGAGACTCAGTTGGGAGTGACTTCAAAGCCCCGAAGGACTTACAGTTCTCCACAAAATAAAATCCAGTATAAGGTTATTCTTGTATTTAGTATTATACTGGATAAGAAATGTCTTTTAGTGACATAACTTCACATTGAGAATCTAATTTCCCCTGAGGTTGTTTTTATAGTCTTTTATTTTTAAATGTTGGATTATGAGAAATATCAAACAAATACAGAATTAGAGAGAATAAGATAATGAACCCTGATGCAGTAGTACCCAGTTTAACAATTAACATTTTGTCAGTTGTGTTTCCTCTAAAGCCCCTCCCTCCTTTTTCTTTGCCTCATAGTATTTTAAATTAAATTTCAGATAATATGTCAATTCACCTATGAATAGTTCAGCATTTATCTCTAATTTATAAGGCTTTTTTTTAACATAACCACATGCTATAATCATACCTATAAAATTAGTAATAATTTCTTATTATCATTTAATACTCTTCCACATTCAGATTTCCCTGATTGTCTCAAAAACATCTTTTTATAGACTGTTTAAATTTGGCTGTTTACATCTCTCTGGTCTCTTTTTTTCTGTATTAATAAATTTTTATATTATCCTTACATTTTCTTATAATTTTTCAAGGGAACATAAAATGAAAACTTACTGCCAAAATGAATGCAGGAAGCTTTATCTTTAAATCATTAATTTGTACATTCTTTATGTTTTCAGATCCATGCATACTTAATGCCAAAAGTAGAGGTCTGGAAAAATGGAGGAAAAAGAAGTTTTCTTTTTCTGATTCAAAAACAGACATGAATTGATCTTATTACTCAACAGCAGAAACCAAATGCAGAAAGTTGGCCCCTATCCTGTTTGAGTTCAGATATGTCTGCATTAAATTACATTTTTAAGCTGCATTATAGTTTGACCTAACCAAAATATCACTTTATAAATACAAAAATTTATAAATAATGAGCCCTTTGCTTCTGGTATCTTATCTTTTTTGCCTTTCAGATTTTGGGTTTGTATTTCAGTACAATGAATTCAAACTAAGACAGTGTTTTCTTACCAAACGTGTTTGTATTTCTTCTACTGTTACCAATTAACATACCTAAGTGGCTTGTCCATTTGACAGTATTCCCATTGAGTTCACTCTGATATCTCAAAAAAATTGTTTTTTGTAATAATGGTTTTTAAAAATAGTTATTTTGCTATCTTTCCAGGTTGGTGCATTATTTTCTTTCAACATGGATAGGAGGACAGAAAAGAATTTCTTTTGCGACTATAATTTTAACACTACTGTGCTTGATATAAATTGTGCAGTGCTGCTAAAATGCCTCAAAATTTTACCATTTCTTTTTATAAACTCTCAATCCTGTGATATCTTTCCTTTCTTAGGATATGAACGAGTCTGCCAAACAAGAAGATATTTTGGAATCCACAACAGATGCTGCGGAATGGAGTCTAGAAGTGGAACGTATACTACCACAACTGAAAGTCACGATCAGGACTGACAATAAGGTATAGCAGAGAGAGCACATTCTGCTCAAATAGATTTTTATAAGGCAATTTCAGGGTCAAGAGTATTCCCAATTATACAAACTATTTGAGAAGGGATTCATTTTCCAGTGTTTTGTCTTAATAAAGATTTAATAAATTGTTATTGAATGAATAAATGATGTGATATGGTCCACAAAGCAAGGAATAGATCTTTAAAATTACTTAGAACACGTCATGTTTCCCTGGGATTAAGGCATGTTTTCTCAATACATTTTGATATATTTTCTTGGCAATCATATTTTATTTAGGTGAATAATGCATGAAATTGGAATTCTATGACTGTATACTAACTGAGTAGACAGAAAGCGGTATAGAACTCTGCTGAATGGCAAAACAGAAGACATCCCAGAAGTTGCCATACATAATCTATTCAGTACACATGATTCAAAGTTAAATATTAAGAAAATAATTGAAAAATCGTATGCAATAAAGATTTGGGGGTTAGGCCAGATAATTAGGCTCTTTTAATCAAGTTTCTGCTTCCTTTTTACCTATAATTTATGAATAAGAACTTCAGAACAAGCTAGTAGGTGACTAGACAACACGACTCTCATTTGTACTATAATAGTCTCTACAAAAGGAGTTAGAGAGACATCTAGGTGGAATATCAGTTCTTGGGGAGTGATGGAAATTGTAGCTGTCTTGATTGTGGTAGAGGTTTCATTGGTGTATACATCTGTCAGAATTCATCAAGTGTACATCTGAAATATGTATAGTTTACTGTGTAGGAACCATAACTATAATAAAAATGTTTTTAAAAAATTAAAGGATTTTCATCCTTGGAGGCTGGAGACAAGCCCAGAATTAGGAAACAGGGCTCTAGGGGAGCTTGTCACTGTGCAGATGTGGTCATGAGTCTTCCCCCAAAGTAGAAGCCCTACAAAGATTGCTGTTTTCAGTGCCTTGGAAGCTAATTCATACTAGATTGTCTGGATTTGAGCTTGTAGAACTGTATCCTAGAGAAGGTAAGAAGTAGCCTAGTCTCCTCGGGCAGCTCTAAAATAGGGTAAGGACAGCAAAGGTCTTACTAGACTGTGAACAGCTGTGGAACAAATTTTATCTAAGCTAAGTGGACACATCCTGCAGTCTGTTTACCATATATTTACCCAGTCATTATGGAGAACAGATATTTGATTACATTGGGGATAAATTCTTTGTTTATGTATCTCTTATATATAAGTGCATATTGATAAGAATTTCTTTACTGATTTGATCTCTGCTGGAAGTCATAATTTGCAAAAACTTTTTTGTAAATATATAATTTCTGATTCTTTTGTTTTGTCAGAACAAATTCTCTTCAGAAAATTAAAAATCACTATTGTGATTCTAGTTAGAATGACATGTTAAAATAACTGTAGTTGGAAACTCAAGTACATCTTAGTCTCACAAGGAAACAAGTTTAATTACTTTCAAGGTGAGTAAACTCTAAAAGTCAAACATCTCAGTTAAAACCTAATAGGATCACAGGAGAGTGTTTTTTAAGAACACTCATTGATCTCCACATAATAGAAGTAACTGAATAAAAAAGAAAAGAATGTAAATGTAACTGCTAAGCTGTACAGTTTTATAAAACTAAATACAAGTCAAATTCTATTACAAACCAATATAGCAGTAATCAAAATCCTGGATTCTTGAAGAATCAACGTTCTCCTGATTTGGGGAAGAATTAGCTAGTTCAAAGTTGGACTCTTAGTCTCATGTTGTTCCTTACCAGCCTTGATCTTATGAGGATATATGTATCAAATTAATTATATTGTTTGAGTTACAGAAAACATTCCAAAATGTCAGATAAAGTTTTGTGGAGGGTTTTTTTTAATGTTTTTTAGAATATGTGAATATCATTTTGAGTTTAGATTTTTTGTGGTAAACCATGCTGACCTGAAGTCATATTTGATTGCTTTTTCAGAATGCTTCTCCAGATCATTTGGTCTTTGTGTCCAATATTTCACCAACTCTTCTTTCTCCTAGAACTTTCAGCTGTAGCAAATGAGAAATATAGCTTTAGGGTCAATTCTTTATTCAGCTTAAGAAAAATAGAAATTATACATTGATTTGAGAAAATAAGGGGCTCCCGAATAGAGAAATGTTTTTCATGTCTCAGAACTAAAGTAATCTGGTTGTATTTGCGGTTTCTCACGGACTCATTATCCTCCTTCAGTGGGAGAGACTGACTCCAGCATCGTGGAAGATCCCTCTCTTCCTCAATTCCTGACTCTACTGAAACCAAACCCTCTCCTTTACTTTTGGATAAAATAATGACCTTTCCTTCACTGCAGGCTATTTAGGATCTTTTGAGATTTCAACTTTATGTTTGAGGGGGAATAAAGGAATTATTTTCAGATCAAGGTGTTTTACTGATCCCTATTACATTAATTTTTAAATAGCATAGGGATGTGGGAGATCAGTACTTAGGGCCTCCGTTATTTAAGTCCATTGTAAATTTCTTTTAAATGACCTTGTGTTAGTAGTGAAAAAAAAAATCCCATATTTATTTGGATCAAATGTTTGTTTTCTTTTGTTTTTTTCTCACAAGTTCAGTTTACTCCTTGTAAGCTTCCTAGCAGAGAATTACAAAAAAATAAATAAATCTCCTTTTCTGTTCTTTTTGCATATTATAGTTTATATGCTTGATGAGATCCTGTCATATACCAATATTTTATTTTGTATATTTTCTGTAACATAATCAGGGTTTTATTGCAAGGCTAGCTTAGCCCTGTTTCTGGCACTACTTGTTGCTGTTGCCAGTTCTCAAAGAATGAAAATAAATTTTAATATTAGCTTAAACAAATTACAATTGGGAAAATAAATGTGTTGCCAAAACTACAAATAATATGTTCCACAACTGAAGATAGAGGGTTTTTGTCATATGCTGGCTGGTATGGACTGTACTAGCAGTTCCCTTTCTAGAGTTGGATGCAGAGAGTGCTCCTGGTGAACTTCTAGAGTAGCTTTGTACCTGGAGACCATCTCAGATCTGCCAGATTGGAGTAATGTGTCTGAAGACACAGCCGAAGTTCTGCCAAGAGAGTCAATAAATTCAGCCAAATTTTAGGTCATTCACCTCAATTATGACCAAGTAAGTAAGGCTAATGCATTAATTCCTTAGAAAGGCAGTGTGAGGACCCCAAAATTAGACATGATGCTGGTACCATCTAATTAAACCCTCTACAGGTACTAGTCTGCAGCTCTGCATCTTGTCCCCTTTGTTCTTTCCTTCTTTTTTCTTTTTATTTCTGTCTTTCCTTTTCTGCTGTGTTTTTATCTTTTTTTGTTGTTACTCTTTATTAGACCCAACAGTGGTTCCCACAGATGTTATATAACTACTCTGGTGGAATTTAAAACTAAGAGCAAACATCTGTGATTTTACTCAGACTAGACTCAAATCTGGTCAAGAATTATTCTAATCTCTGAGTCTTTTTAAAATACAAGTTTGTTTTTAATTATAAAAATAATAAGGAAGTGATATTTCAAAGGGAGAGGAGACAGGCAGTGTACTGTGAATTGGAAGATAGGGATCACACATTTAGTCCCAGTATCAATTCCTGATTTATTGAGCCCAAGTTTCAGACACTTAGTAGAACTGTGGTAGCTATAAAGACCCTGAGGAGATGGAGCCTATCTCATACACCTTCCTTTGGCACTCGGAATTCATATTTATACCTCTTATTAGCTGTGTGGTCCAGGGCAAGCTACTATACCTCTCTGTTCCTTCTTTCTTCATTTGTAAAATGGGACTTATTAGTTTAATTACCTCGTGGAGTTGTAAACACCAAAAACGGTGTCTGACACATAGTTGTTACTAAACAAATGATAATTATTGCAGTGTTACAATATTGTTATTATAATATTATGTTCTATCATAGCCCTCTTGTATTTCAGTGTCTATATCAGTATTCAGGAAGAATTTACAAGATTTCTCCCTTAGTGCTTCCATCATTTAAGGGAATATTTATAAACATCAGCTTTATATTTTTACATGGGAGGTAATCAGTTCATATGATTATCACTTGGATAAATCTTTTTTGTTTTTTCTCTAGTAAAGGTATATATGATAATAATAAAAAGTGATGTTTACTAAGTGTGTGCTTTGTGCTGAGTGCTATTCTTAGCACTTCACATATGTTAACTAATTTAATTCTTTCCACTGCCCTCTGAGATGCAGGTATCTTTTACTACAGATAAGAAAACTGAAACACAGAGAAGTTACTTGCCTCTGCCTAGTAGGAGACATATATGATATATGAATCTCCAACACAGGCTCTAACCTATTCTATTAGTGACAATATAGCATCCTTGTTAAAAGCACAAATTCTGTATGTATATATTTTTTTGTTGAGGTGTAGTCAGTTTACAATTTTGAGTCAACTTCTTGTGTACAGCGCAATGCATCAATCATACATGAACATACATATATTCGTTTTCATATTCTTTTTCACCATAAGTTACAAGATGTTGAATATAGTTCCCTGTGCTATGCAGTATCTACTTTTTGTGTATCAATTTTATATATATTACTTAATATCTACAAATCTTGAACTCCCAATAGACCCTTTCCCACCCGCTTCCCCCAATAACCGTAAGTTTGTTTTCTGTGTCTGTGAGTTTGTTTCTCTTTTGTAAATAAGTTAGTCTTTTTTTTTATATTCCACATATAAGTGATATCATATGGTATTTTTATTCCTCTTTGTGGCTTACTTCACTTAGAATGACAACCTCCAGGTCCATCCATGTTGCTACAAATGGCATTATTTTATTCTTTTTTATGGCTGAGGAATATTCCATTGCATAAATATATCACAGCTTCTTTATTCAGTCATCTGTTGATGGACATTTAGGTTGTTTCCATGTCTTGGCTATTGTATAGTGCCGCTATGAACATTGGAGTACATGTATCTTTGAATTAAGGTTCCCTCTGGATATATGCTCAGGAATGGGATTGCTGGATCATATGGTAAGTCTAT